TGTGTTCTCACTGTGGATAAATAGCCCTGTCTAGCGATATGAAGGAGGAAGCAGCTGTCAAGAGACTGCTGGGTGTGGTCGAACGTGTTGTTTAGCTTGAGCCTTCCTCGATTGCTTGGTCACTCTACGTCTATTTCTCGAACACAGCTCTGATCAACGTGCTTTTCCGACATTCTTGTTTCTAACGACTGTCAATCACACATACATATATATTTGCCTTATTTATACTATTGAAGTTCGGCGGTTAGAGAGTGGAGATGATATTTCTGTAAAAAAGAGACATCTCCTTCTTTATAAAATACATTTTTTAAATGAAGTTTGTCCAAATTTTCTTCTCGAAGCTGATATCATAGTCCTTTGATAGGTATGAATTATAAATAAGAATATTCATTTATTTAATGAATTATATAAAATAGATAGGTTTCTTATTTGCAAATATTCATATATGAAAAAAAAAATAGAAAAAAGTGGGTCAGGTGTTGATATTAAAATATTTTTGATCGCAATGGTACAGCCTACTCCAAGCTGACGAACGCCAACAGCGCGAAACGTGTTCGTGGATGGCTTTTCTTGATTTATCAAGAAATTGAGTTGGCCAAATATCACGGAGCAAGTTAAATAAACGTTTGGTTTATTTTTTCTCCACTAGATGTCGCTCTGCCATCTAAAAAGCACATGTGCTCTTGGTCAGGATATGCTTTCTTTATTTTTAATATTCATATATATTTAAACAAAAGAGTTGCAGGAAGATGGTATTCATGCATTAAAATATAGGCACAGCTCACTTTATAAAATGCCATTAAACAATGCACTTTATTTATGCCCCAGTGCATAACATAATATACATAATGAAAAAAAAAAAGCCGATAACCATTTTTGGTAAAGAAATATATAAACTGGTTAAATTTGTTGCCAAACCTGAGGCAATATTTTTTAACACCACCATTGCGTTCTATACTGCCATGATAAACAAAATATATTGTTTTGATACAATTTAAAGGGAAGAAGTGGGTCTCTTCTGGTACATGTATAAAAGACTCTATATGTGTTCGACATATATATTCTATCTTTTTCATTTCTTCAATATAGCTGTGGACTGAGGGTAAATGAAGTTTTTAAATTGTTAATATTGTCTCCTGGTATATATATGTTTGAAATTTATTGAGCAATCGATAAATATTTTTTTTTAAATGCTTATTTTTAAAGTTGCTACACGAAATATTGGAAAATAAAATTTATGATCCAAAATGAGCATTATATATATATATATGAAAATAGAGCAAAATATGCAGATTTTCGTCTATCTGGTTAACTGATCAAATTTCAGGGAGAGTGGCACACCGATGAGCGAAGATTGAGTAAAAGAAGGGTAAAAATTTGAAAGATTTGATACGAAAAAGCATTTTGAGAGTGTAATAGACTTCTAGAAGATTTGTAGAAGCTTATGCTTGGAAGAAGCGGAAGAGATAGCTTGAACTCAATTTTAAGTATTACAAATGGACACAAATATAAGGTCAAATAAAACAAATAATCAAAGGCTATTAAGAAAGAAGACAATATGTTAATGCTTAATTGACATACGTTTACTACATTTCTATCAAAGCAGATATGAAAGAAAAAGATCCTACAGTCAATATGAAACTGAATCTAATAGGTATAAATTGGATTCTGGTAGAAATATCAATAAAGCCACGAGAGAATGACACGTTCCAATGACCTAAGTACCATGTTACTGCAGGCAGGTTCAACCGGGCATTATTGTGTTAAGGGTCCTATGGCAAGTTTCTAAGTGGCCTCAACATGCAAGGGCGATAATTCGCTCGCGTAATTACCATGGGATCACTGCACGCACCTCGCTAATCAATAGCATGGTACGACTGGACTTTTTGCAAGTTATTATCAAACCCTGTCTCTCTCTCTCCTGCACTATCAGGCATGAATGCAGGTCACTGCATTCCTAATGAATTTGCCCTCTTTTTACATATTCCCTCTGTTTTTATTTGACCTATATCACGGCAAAACAGGTAGGTTTAGCTTATTGGAATCACGTTTTGTTTTCTACTGATAGTATATCCATTGTTATATTCTAAAATTAAGTTTGAATTCGTACATAGAAAGTTCTAGCACCATTATGGATTTTTTATATTTTTTTATATATAAAAGTCAATGTCTGTTGTATGTTTCGCGATAAACTCAAAACTACTAAACCAATTGGTACCAAATTTTGCATGTCGCTTTTTATAAACCTGAGAAAAATTTAGGCTACATTTTGATTAGTATTTTTGCCTATTTATTTATTTATTTTTCATTTGAAGAACTTTTTTAACGCGGAGTTAATACGAGGCGAAGTAACAACACCAGGCCAATTAAACGACCAATGAGCGTTCTGAAATGTTTATTCAAGTTGTTTGCGTTTTTTTTAAACTACTTTTTTTTAAACTACTTTTTCACAAAAGTATTGAGTATAGAAAGAGAAATTTATATCACTAAGTTACGGTAAGTGCAAACAATGCAATTTTAAAAAGATTCACAAAATTAGCGTTACTGTATGTAAATAATGGCCTTCGTATTTTTTATTAATTTTTGTTCTGGCCTTTTTTTTTATCTCTTTAAAAAATCGTTTAAAATGCAGTCGCAGTCATTAACAAACACACATGTTTGCCTAAATTCCATGTGCTCTTTTATTTTTTGCAGAAAAATATTTACATGCCAGTATTTTGCATTAATTTTTTTTATAAACCTATTTTTCTTATTCTTACTGAGAAGATGGGCATCGCAGTCAAGATCCATCTCAGTCACTCACTCAACCCAGGCAATTTCAATGGTTAATGCTCAAGGGCGGGTATTCGGGGGTTTTGTGGAAAAGCTGCTATCTATATAAATTATATTGATTTTGAAGCAACTAAATGGATTGTAAAAAATAATTGAATCAAATACCTAAACACTAATATAATACAATTTTTGCCATTACACACACTTTTTGCCTGTGTTTTATGTGTTACTTCTGTATTGCTATTTTATGGCACTTCTACTATTTATTATTGATGTACTTTCAATATGAAGAAAATTGCACTCGGGGGAATTCTCGGGAGAAGCCGGTCATTTGTCTAGTCTATATATATAAAAATGGATGTTTGTTGCTCCGTTGGTCGGTCCGTTCGTCAGTGATAATCTTCTACATCGCTCAACCAATCGTGATGAAACTTTGGGAAGATGTTTAGTATACTACCGGGATGGTTTCTGGCTAATTACTCTTTAGAAATAACCTTTCGTTGCATTTTTATTTACAATAAAACGTAAATTCACTCGCAATCAGCGCCCCCTCGCGGCAGACGTATAGCCTGAAATAGCCTCGCATGAGCTTATTTGTAACGTAAAGCTTAGCCTATAGGTTAGGTACACAGCTTCGTACCCCCGCAACCTAGGTTCGAGGCTCAGCGTGGGTGTTTTTTTTTTTTCATTTCTTTTATATTATTGTAGCAAATTATTAAAAATATTATTTTATTTAAAATGTAGGCTTTTTAAAATAAAAATTAACATAAATAATTTTATAATAATATTTGTAACAAACCTAGGTTCGAGGCTCAGCGTGGGTGTCTTTTTTTATTTTCATTTCTTTTATATTATTGTAGCAAGGTCTGTTTTTACAGCATTATTATATTTTGATTGGTTTATTTTAAATATGTTTGTTATGAAGGCTCTATGTAATACTATTTAGAGCACATTTTACATTTTAAACACCTAAGCCCCCCTCTTTTTAATATTGTAGCAAAGTATTAAAAGTATTATTTTATTTTAGATGTTTTCCATGAAACTTTGGGAAGTTGTTTAGTATACTATCAGGACGATTTCTGGCGAATTATTTTAGAATAATATTTATAACAATAATTATAGCAAAATTAAGACATAGTGATTATATTCTGTGTTTGTGCATATATAAATATTTTACAGAAAATGTGAGAACGTTCTATTAGAATATCTCGAAAACAAAAACAATACATATAAACGAGTTCACTGACATTTATTAATGCAGTGATTATAATCAATGATTACAATGAAGGGCTATATTATCTATATATATAAAAATCACTTTCAAATTTTAACGTAACGTTCCATTCTCAATCCCGTAGGGCTTTAGATCGGCTAAAACATTTTTATCTTTATGAGTGAATATTAACTTTACTGTACTGAATAGTTTAGTATAATGTTAATTTAACATATTAAAATTAAGCCACAGCAACGCGTGGCCGAGTTCGCTAGTAACTTATAAAAAAGATTGAACTGGAGAAACCTTGTGTGAACATATCATTCGAGATATTATTCTACCAGCACGTATCATCCACCACGCACGTATTTTTTCAAAATTTTGTTTTTCAAACAGAAATAATGTAATATATTTTCTCTCAATATGTAAGTATTTAAAATATGTAAATAATAATTCGTATATAAAAATTGTAATAACGAATAGATTCAAAAAGGATAAGTTTCTTTATTTGAAAAATCAATTCGAGCTTTCGGGCGTAAGCTGCCCTTTTACAGGAATAATGAATACAATTTCAAGTAGTCATGTATGTACAGATATATATTTTTTCTTTAAATGGTTTCTCGCTCTGGTCTTGTATAGCGTCAGTGGATCACATACCCACGTGATTTAGTTTAAATCAAAGAAAAGCCTTGATAAAGAGAGGCGTGTTGCCCCTAGAAATACTAGCTGATTAATAATTTATATCCAGTATATGCCCTATATTTATTTACACATATCTATATATATATAAAAGTCAATTCCTGTCTGTCTCTCTGTCTGTTTCGCGATAAACTCAAAAACTACTGAACCAATTGGTTCCAAATTTTGCATGTCGCTTTTTATAAACCTGAGGAAATTTTTTGGCTACATTTTGCTTATTATTTTTGGCTATTTCTTTTTTTAATTTGAAGAACTATTTTTTTACGCGGACAAATCCGGAATGGAATGAATACCTAAATATGGCCATTTTTTTAAAGCATCGGTGCCTTAGTGGTAGAATGCTCGCCTGCCACGCAGGCGGCCCGGGTTCGATTCCCGGCCGATGCATTTTTTTTTTTTACAATTTTTAAAACTAATTTATAAAAAATATAATATAAATATATACTATTATATCAACTATATGAATTAAATCAAATACCTAAACACTAATCTCTTCTCTATATATATAAAATTCAATTTCTGTCTGTCTATCTGTCTGTCTGTTTCGCGATAAACTCAAAAACTACTGAACCAATTGGTACCAAATTTTGCATGTCGCTTTTTATAAACCTGAGGAAAATTTTTGGATACAATTTGCTTAGTATTTTTGGCTATTTCTTTTTTTCATTTGAAGAACTTTTTTTTTACGCGGAGTAATCCGGAATGGAATGAATACCCAAATATGGCCATTTTGTATACGCATCGGTGGCTCAGTGGTAGAATGCTCGCCTGCCACGCGGGCGGCCCGGGTTCGATTCCCGGCCGATGCATTTTTTTAAAACAATTTTTAAAACTCATTTATATTATATCTTCTATATATATAATAATGAATGTTTGTATGTTTGTTTGTTTGTTTGTTGGTTTGTATGTCCGGTATACAAATTCGCAGTAGTTCACTAATTCAAACCCAAATTTCCATACATAGGTAAAAAAATACGAGGAAAACGATAGGCTATTTTAAATTATATATAAATTAAATATTAAAACTAAATATTCAAATTATTCTACTGAGCTCACGAACAGCGCCCTCTATCAAGGTTATAAATACGTTTAAAATCGAAATCTTCTCAAAATTTTATTTATAATAGTGTTCGCTTAATAATTAGAATACTTGATCTAAATCGAAATATTTATAGACGCTCGCTCGATTTGAAGATTTATATCGTAACTAATCTGACTGTAAAGTTTGGAGCGGGACGTTTCACAAGAGTGACATCCACGGCGCCAATTTATAATTGTAACGAATAGTGTTTGAATAAACATTTAATCGGGTAAACCCGGGCGTTGCCCGGGTCATTCGTCTAGTATATATATATAAGCTATTTTTGCATATCTAGGATTATTTATGAAGTTTTATATTTTATTATTTAAGAAAAATTATTGCTATGTAAATTAGTCAATTGGTTGATATTATTATATGCAAAATTGTTAAATGGTGTGATGAAGAGAAAACGGATAATTCTATTTTAGTTTTTGGACCAGCCTATCATATGTCTCCGGGATATCTATGTGTCTATTTATACTATTATATTTTGATGAAATCAGTGCTTACAGTATTAATCTTTTGTATTTACTATTTATGTTTGTATAATGAATATTAGGGTTTGCTAGGTTGAAATCGTGATCTGTGTTTCTAATATGTTGTACTATTAGAGATTTAGGGTCTTTGTTTTTAATATTTCGTCTATGTTCGTCTATTCTGTCTTTTATATGTCTGCCTGTTTCACCTACATATACATTATTACATTGGTTGCATGGTATGGAATATACGGCTTTGCTATTGTATAGTTTTGTTATAGGAATACTGTTTCTTGTAATGGGGTTTCTTATTATGGTTGCTATACTCGGGTTGCTTTCATAATATGTTCTTATACCGTGTTTGCTTAAAATTCTGACTATATTGGTACTACTATGGGAATAGGTAAATATACATATTGATTTATAAACATGATTATTTCTTATAAGAGAGGGATTATGAAAATGTCTTAATATAAGGTTTTTCGGATAACCACTAGAAGTGAGTTTATTGATCAAAAATTGGGTTTCTGTATCTTTTGAGAGTTGGGTGGAACAATGTGTATATATTCGTTTTGAGGGGGTTTTTACCGTGTTGATCTTGTATAAATATAAAATATAAAAATTGTATTTATTATTAAGTTGTTAACCTGATAATCCTGTTGAAGAACTGACAAGTCCGAAAGATTGATAATAAAAAGTTGCACAACAAACTTAACCCTGGAAGCTTCATTTATTTTATAATAGAATCAATTTGTACACAAAAGACATTATTCTTTGAAATTTCTTTATTCTACTGGACTAATGACCCTGATAACATCAATGTTTTGTTTGAGTACATTTTGTCCAAGGGTATATGAAAAATGTATGTTTATTTATGAAAACTATTTATATAACAAATATGTAACGCACAAAATATATTAATCGGATCTTTTGAATTATATTGCATGTTGCAAAATATAGTTTTACCCAAAGTTGAATATAAAATAAATATTTTGGATATTAAATTATAAGAGAGTATTCTCAAATAAGCCTTTTTTGATGTACTCTAATCGAGTTCGAAGGGTTTTGAGCAATAGCTTGAATCCTTTACATAGAAATCATAGATGTAAACTTATTCCCTTCCAAATATGACACATAAACAAAATTAAGCCGAGTAAAAGTTGATTTATCATTATATTTGTAGTATTGCTAATTGAATACGTCCAATTCTAATGCCTCAACAAACGATAATTTGAGAATTAATACATGACTTAGAAATAAAATTCATTCGACATTTTAAAACTTTGAATAGTTTTAGGCCTTATTTGTGTTGAATTAATTACATTTTAATTTTATAAAAATCAGGTAGAAATTCATTAAATTTTATTATTATATCTACTTTTTAAAAAAATATTCAAAATATTAGTTATTTCATTTTGAAAATTTAACATTTAAAAGTATTATAATTTAACATTTCTTATTTTATATTGTTACATCAATTTTAATGCGTATTACATTTATTCAAAATATTCTATGATATTTAATATTTATTTAAAACATAATATTTAGATTATCATCATTCCTTTTTATAGTTTCATTCCTTTTGTAATATTTATTGTACATATATCTTGATTGGTTATTGGAGCGAGAGAGGACCTAGAGGGAGACTGCGGATCACGACCTACGAGGAAGACCACGAATAAATAAACACAATAACTTCAAGGTGATTTATTTTTATTTACTTTTATATTTTTACTTTTTACTTTTATTTATTTGCTTTGAATATGGAAACCCGCTCGGGAAACGTGTATAACACCAAGAAGGAAGAAACCAAGTTCGACGACCTTGCAAAGCTAAAACTTGGTGCAACAATATATATAAATAACATTAGTATAAATGCTGTTAGGTATTTCAAATGCTCTCTTTGAAAAATTAAAAATATCTTGATTTCATTTTTCATTCATTGAAATATATATATGTGATGAGTTATACTGTCGACTCTTCTAGAATCCTGTCGACTAAAACTGTGATGAGGTCTTGTTGACTCTTGTAGAATCCTGTCGACTAAAAGTGTAGTGAGGTACCCCTGTCGACTCTCGCTATGCTGTGTTGACCGAGAGGAACAGTCAGGATGGGGATTTTTCCAGTACCTCTCTGCACATTGTAAGACCTTAAACAGTTCTCACAGAGTACAGGCAGTCGTTGTCGAGGCAGAGTTGAAAGCTTGGGAATGTCCACACAAAAAACGAGGACACAGTTGTACTAGGAAAGTTCCGTGAACAGACAAAGGTTGAGCTAGGAGCGAAAGATGGAGATAGAAGAGTTCTTACTGGTCTACAAGGTGGATGAGGAGGACATTGATGACAACCAACGAGGGCTCACGCTGATGGTGAAGTGACTATATTTTTGGCTAGGGCGGAGGCCTTATATATCTTTGCCGAGAGAGGAAGTATTGCATTTCAGTAGATGCGACAAGAGCGTGGATCGTCTGGCGAAATTGTACACTGGCGCCGTCCTGACAGTTTGCTATCTATCTTTAGAAGTTGTTTTGGAACTGCTACATCTCGATTTTGGACGTTTTCGACTTCTATCTCTTGCTTCAGCTCAACTCTTAATCTATTACAGAGTTTTATTTATTTATCCTCAGTTTGTACAAAGTACATTACATATAATGATGTAATGACATGTCAATCATGCGTATAATCATTTACAGATATGTTACTTTTATACAACATGAAAATCTTGTTATATGTATTATACAATATAAGGTTGTTGGTTTAAATATCCATATATATATAACAAGTAACCCACTGCAAAAAATAAAGATACAATCATTTCGAAGAAGCATAGAATAAAAACATGTGGGTACTAAATATTTAAGTAAAGGTATAACCAAAATTCCAAGAACAAAGGAGAAGTGTTTCTCCAATATTCTGGGAATTTTTGCTAGGTATATCTAAAGAGTTTTTTTTAAATAAGTAATGGGGAGGGAGTATGCATATAATTAGATTAAATTCCTTCTTGTATTTTCTAAAGTTAATGTTTTCCTAACCAATTGGTGATGGTAGAAGTTTATAATGAGATTAACTCTGGTATGCATATACTATAATTGTTCTGAAAATAGAGAAATCCATACATATAGCATTAGATAGTAAAAAGGCATATATTGGATTGAATAAAAGATTTATTTATCAATATTTGGGCTGGCTGAACGCCAACTTTTATCGAAGCATTACGGACGTGGACGGCAGAATGGAATGAAATTATCTTTACTAACGAGTCACGCTTCTGTCTGCAACACCACGATGGTCGGATTCGAATCTGGAGACACCGTGGAGAAGGATGCTAAACAGCTGCGTTATGCACCGCCACACTGGTCCTGCACCGAGTATTATTGTATGGGGCGGGATTGGATATCACTCTCGAATACCTCTAGTACACATTGCCGGTACTTTATACAGCCAACACTACATCTCCGAGGTGTTGGGGCCAGCTGTCCTTCCTCACCTTCAGGGTTGCCTACAGTTATATTTCAACAGGATAATGCGCGACCACTCGTGGCAAATATTGTCCAAAGGGTCTTCGTCATTCGCCAGATTGAATTGCTTACCTGGCCGGCTCGCTTTCCGGATCTTTCGCCGAAGGAAAACATGTGGTCGATGGTTGCTCAACGAATATCACAGATTACATCACCAGCTGCCACCCCAGATCAACTTTGGCAACGTGTGGAAGCTGCTTGGTATGCTGTACCCCAAGAACACATCCAACGTCTCTTTGAATCAATGCCGAGGCGTGTGGCAGCGGTGATCTCCAACAATGGCGGCTACTCTGGCTACTGATTCTGGCAGGAA